AGTTTACTGCATTAACATTGCCTCTCTGGAGGTTTAGGTTTTCCCTCAGTATGTTGTTTTCCTGAGCATTTATGGGCTACAGCCAAACATTTTAAAAGGCCAAATGTTAAGGCATATCTTATATGGATTTGACTAGAACAATGTCCGTATTCCCTACAGGATACGAAAACAAAATACCCGTTAACCTGCTCTAGAGTCATTTACGCTCACTAGAAAGTGAATTGCTCCTTAATTGAGCAGCTTTACTGAAATTAAATGGTTGCTTACATGTTTTTCTTAGACCTTTATTTCCTTACTTAAATAGTGGTTTTCCTTTAGTTCTTGAGATACAGTTTTACAGTGCTCATTGCAGACATGTGGAGCTGATTCGGACAACTCTTGCTTATCTAGATGAATGCTCCAGTTTTGAAGTACTTCTATGTCTGTGTTAACTTTTCTTCAGAGAAATAACCACTAATGTCTCTTCTATCTGTAGCAAAATGTTCAAATTATTTATATGCACTGCTTTCTTGAGAATGGTCTTGACCTTTTGTAGACCTTAATGAGTCCATAGTGGGTGTAAAAAAATTCTGCTCTGACTTGGTGCAGTATTTATACTGAGTTTGAAGTCATGTCATTGACTATACAAGGTGTGATAGAAAAGAAAATATGCATACACACACATGCTTAGCAAATGGTGTTGTAGACTGGCTGGATGCAGTGGGGTGGTGGGAGGCACTAACTGGGGAGCTCCCATGGGAAGAAGGCTCAGAGTCAGGGGATTGATGGTGGGATGACAATGAGTGGTCAGAGGAAGAATAAGGGGCACACATAAACATAATAATTAGAAAAAATATTTACTTTTTATACAGTATTTTAAAATTCATAAATTAGCAATTATTTATTTCACTAGAAATTAAAATATTTTAATACAATAAAAGTCAATGTATACTTCAACTTCTGCTCCTCATTAAACTTTGTCTCATACTTAAGAAGGAAATCTGTATTGAATGTGAGACATTTAACAGCTAGCTCTTTAAGAAAATCCATTATAATTAACACTGTGGGGTTTTGTTTTTTGTTTTTTTAATTACTACTATTGAAAACATACTGTGAATTACACATGTATAAGAACGAAAAGATTTGAAAGTAAAGATGAATCTGTATAATTTGACTCAAGTACTACATTAAGTCAGGGACGCGGGTGGCGCTGTGGGTTAAACCACAGAGCCTAGGACTTGCTAATCAGAAGGTTGGTGGTTCGAATCCCCGCAACAGGGTGAGCTCCCGTTGCTTGGTCCCTGCTCCTGCCAACCGGCGGGAAGGTAAACGGCGTTTCCGTGCGCTGCTCTGGTTCACCAGAAGCGGCTTAGTCATGCTGGCCACATGACCTGGAAGCTGTATGCCGGCTCCCTCGGCCAATAAAGCGAGATGAGCGCCGCAACCCCAGAGTTGGTCACGACTGGACCTAATGGTCAGGGGTCCTTACTACATTAAGTATATATTTCAAGCTGCAGAACAATATAATACTTACAGAGCTGTAGCCAAAACAGAAGTGTCTATCTACAGTTTCTTCACCATGCACATTGGCACATTGGCATTGTGATTTTTTGTGTGTTCTAGGATGGAATTGTTTACATATGATTACATTGTATAAACCATATGCTGTTCAAATATGGGAGGACCTCTGAAATGTTTGCATTTCAAGCACTTGAATACCCCAAGATCTGCCTGTCAATAAAACCATTGGTACTTAGCCTCCCTATCTCCCCTCCCTCCCTGAGTCAAGATGTCATTCCACCAGTAATTCCACTTGTGCATACAGTGGTACCTCTGGTTACATATGCTTCAGGTTACATACGCTTCAGGTTACAGACTCCGCTAACCCAGAAATAGTACCTTGGGTTAAGAACTTTGCTTCAGGATGAGACAGAAATCACGTGGTGGCGGCGCAGTGGGAGGCCCCATTAGCTAAAGTGGTACCTCAGGTTAAGAACAGTTTCAGGTTAAGAACGGACCTCCAGAACGAATTAAGTACGTAACCAGAGGTACCACTGTACTAACAAAGACTGAGTGGTTCCTGATAACAAATCCTATATTAGTTGCCCTGTGTTGTGGCCCTTTTACCTACTCCAGTGATGCACCCTTGATACTGTTGCTTAAGCTGTTTTAACATGGATGCCACTGAGATGATAGGAACATAATGTCTGGCTGCTTTAAAGTCATCAGCCTTTCTGCTCTCCTAATGCTAAGCATCTCACTTTAATTTGGTCACAATCAATACAGACTTCTTTCCTAATTAAAGTAATTTGTTTTTGTGAATCCGTCTTATGTAAACTCAAACAGGCTCTTGAATAGTCTGTGTTTTGAATGCAAAGGTTATGGTTATATAATCTGTACCTTTGATTAAATGTTTGTGATAGAATTAAAAGTCTTTGTGCAGGCATGTTTGCTAACAGAAGAATTTTGGTAATAAACTGAACCTTCTGTTAATATACCAAGGTAAACATGTGTTGTTACATGCATCTTGCTTCTTTTGCATTAAAAAATAGCAATGTGATATGCTGCTTGTTTAGGTTTAATATTTTACCACATCTTAATTTTTAAAAACATTACAGACACCTGTAATATGGAATATCATTGAAACATAACCTCTTGGGGAAGCTATCACATACTGAAACTTAGGAGCAAAAATGATAAAACTGCAGATAACCTCATAAATGTTGTGGCAGGGTATGGAAATCTAAAATTTCACTCCCAGCTGAGCTGCTCTCTTTTCCTTTGGTATTTATGTTAAATTAATGTAGCACTCCTGTGGCTGACATTAGTAATTGGATATAGCTGAAGGAAATCTAACAAAGAAAATGGCACCCATTCTTCTTAAATTAAGGCATCAATTTTGCTAATACTGGTGACACATACCCTGAATGATGCTGGTGAAAGAAGTTAGGATTGCTACTAAATTTCTTATACCGGTGGATCTCCAAATTTCACCATTGAAGTAAAGGTATTTTGATGGTATAATGGTGTAGCAATGACATTGATGGCATAATGTTAAGCCAGTGTTAAGTGGAATTGGGGCATGACAGGAGTGCAGTTTAGTCAGAAGTATATGCTCACTGAGGGCTCAATTCCATGCTCAAGATCAGCATAATATTAGTTATGAGGGGATGAAGAGTGGTGTGTGTTTAAAGCACAAATAGAAATGTGATTTGTGGGTGTTCTCTGTAAAATCATTGGCATTCAGATGGTACTTTAACCTTTCTGTTGAGAAAACTACCAAGGGTTTCTACATGTATGCCTCCTGACTAGTGAGCCCAACCACAATTCCTTGACTAGGGAATTGTGGTTGGGGAGACACGAAATTAAAAGACGCTTTCTCCTTGGGAGAAAGGCGATGGCAAACCTAGACAGCGTCTTAAAAAGCAGAGACATCACCTTGCCAACAAAGGTCCGTATAGTTAAAGCCATGGTTTTCCCGGTAGTGATGTATGGAAGTGAGAGCTGGACTGTAAAGAAGGCTGATCGCCGAATAATTGATGCTTTTGAATTATGGTGCTGGAGGAAACTTGAGAGTCCCATGGACTGCAAGAAGATCAGATGCATCCATTCTTAAGGAAATTAGCCCTGAGTGCTCACTGGAAGGACAGATCGTGAAGCTGAGGCTCCAATACTTTGGCCACCTCATGAGAAGAGAAGACTCCCTGGAAAAGACCCTGATGTTGGGAAAGATTGAGGGCACAAGGAGAAGGGGACGACAGAGGATGAGATGGTTGGACAGTGTTCTCGAAGCTACAAACATGAGTCTGACCAAACTGCGGGAGGCAGTGGAAGACAGGAGTGCCTGGCGTGCTCTGGTCCATGGGGTCATGAAGAGTCGGACACGACTAAACGACTTAACACCAAACAACATTTGCTCTAGCATTTTATGTGGGATAGGTTCTGTGTTATCATCTTGATATTTCTGCTGCTGCTTTGGATTGGTACTTCCTATGCATGGGTAATGGGAGAATGACTGCTTTCCTCTCACAGTTATAGTAGTTTGCTCTAAAGAACATTTTGTCAACATGGGATGATAGCTACTCAAGTGGTTTGTGGCAAGTCTTTTTCTCCTGATAATTGTCACTGTCCTAGAAGTTCAAGAACATGTTTTGGGGATAATGACGTCAAAGGCAAATTAGGACTCCTGCCAGGACTGTTATCCAAGAATGATAACAGTTGAAATGCAAAACTATATTTGAAAAGATATGACCATGATTAGAATTCATGGATTTTTGTGCTGTGTGACTCAGATATATTGCATAGTACGGCTTTACAGGAATATTTAAATTTTTAAAATAGAATTCATGGTAAGAGTCTGGCAATATTTTACTCTGACTCATAGTACTGTTGCACTCCACCTCCTTCTTTCCGTGCTGTGGCTTGAGATAGACGGACTGAGCAGACCAATGCAATACCACAGAAAGGTGAAAAGATTTGTAGGTCAATTCCATGATCTCCCAATCATACAGTATTAATTGAGAAGTGCTGCTTAAATTTTGTGGTTTCTTGAACCACTTAAAAATTGCAGGAGGACAGGTCTCAGTGGACCACTTAACAACCCCCCCCCCAGCACTCTCATCATCATAAAAAAACCTCCAGCAACATTACAAATACCACTGGAAAGGACTCTTTTAACTGATAAACTTTTAGGGGAAAATTAGCAGACTGGTTCAGTGCCATATTATGAAAATCATGGGCTATAGTCGAGGGACTTGTTAGTCTGTTGGAACATCTGTCTCTGGTCAAAATGGATTATTTCCATTATAAAAGCACACACAAATCAAGTGAAGAACCATGTACAATATTCATGACTAAACAAACAAACAAACAAACAAACAAACAAGCAAATTGTCCAGTAGCACCTTGGAAAACAACTAAGTTTGTTCTGGGTATAAGCTTTTGTGTGCATTCACACTTCTTCAGATATATCTGAATATAAGACAATCTCATCTGCTAATTTCTAAATGTTTTGTCCACAGACAGCTTACTGATTGACTATCAGTTTACCTTCAGCTTATTACAAGAAGATGATCGCCATCACACTGCCATAAACTTCATTGCAAATCCTGAACAGGTGAGCTAATATAAGTAACTGCCTCTAATATGATTATTTAGTGATCATAGACTAGGTATCCATTATATCTGGTGTTTTTCTAAATCTGTTTGTAGGAACTAAAAAGTAGTAAGAAGGGATGATAGAAACAACTTTCAGGGAAAACAAGTGGTTTCTTCAGGTTTTGAATAATAACTGAACTCAGATTTTCAAGTGAGATATATATCTTCATCCATTAGGACTCAAATCAATTTCCATTCCACACATATGTAAATTAAGTTGTCTCACTCCTGCAGATGTCCAAATGTTTCTTAATGCTCTCATACTGGTTGCTGGCTAGCTTCAGTCTTTCTGCAGTGGAGCATGTCACAGTGCCTCCTCACTTGTATGCGGATGAATAGCTGCTTTTCACTGCAATTAATCCCTTGTTAAGGCTGCAGTCCTTGCCCCACCTTCTTGGGAGTAAGCCCTATTGAATTCAGAAGGACTAATGTCTTAGTAGATGTGGTTAGGATAGTACTGTAAGGTGTAAAATATATTTATTTTTCCTTGGACAAGGCAGTGGATAGTGGAGATGTTTATAGAAGTTAAATAAGGTGTGTGTGTGTGTGTGTGTGTGTGTGTGTGTGTTTTCATTCCGTATCTAAAGTGTTGCTGTTTTAAAAGCCAGGATACCCATATACCCATATATCTCAAGACCTGAAGTTCATTTTCAGAGGTCCTTCTCAAGGTATCTGTACCAGTGAAGTGAGGTGGTAGCCATTAGGGAGAGGGCTTCTCACTCATGGACATGCTAACCTGGTGCTTACACTGTAGACTTTTTGGGAGCTGGTGTAGACTATATGTCCCAGATTTTTCAGTTTTAGAAACAAGTTTTTGTGCTTTTTAGACCTTGGAAACTACTGTTTTCACTGTTGTTGGTTTTATCCTGCTTATATTCTGATACTCATTTTTATGTTCAGGCTGTATTCTTATTTTGACTATTTTCTGTATACTGCAGATAAATGTTTGTTAATGGGCAGTATAAAAATATTGTTAATAACTACATGATAAATTTAAAAACCTTTAACTATGCAATGACATTAACTCTATGCAGAGTTAATGTAAAATTATTCCTCATGCTTTAGCAGATCTGAGAAGTGCAATAATTCTGCTCTGAAAACACACATCAGCAACACATTAACTTGAAACATATCTTGTGTGGCTGTGAGATGGGAACACTGCAGTTCGTAGTATTTTTTCTAATAATATCACATACTTTACAAATATAATAGCAATTTAGATGCCTTTTTGTAGAGCTATTGACATTGATGGCTGAGCTTTTATTTCTCAGGAGCATGCAATTTGAAGAGGTGCTCCACACCTTAATTCTGAATTAACCAAATTACCGTGCAATCCTATGCATATCTGCTTAGAAGTAAGCTCATTGACTTCAGTTGGACTTACTCCCAGGTAAGTGTGTATAGGATTGCAACCTTCTTCTACAGTGTGAATCTGAAATCTTGCTTGAGAAAACAACTAATTTGGACTTTACTATAGCTAAAAATATAGGAAAACATTTGGGTCTATGTTAATTTCATTGAATCTTTCTTATAAATAAAAATTTCAAGTTGGATTTTATATTGTCCTGTGAAATGGATAGATTGTTAGTCTTATATTCTCTTGGATATATTCCTTTTCAGTTAAACATTCCTGAGTTTCTTAGCTAATATCCTGATGTAATCAGCCATTCCCTAGAACCCTACAGCTTCACTAGCAAGGGCAGGGAAGGTACTACTACTTGCAGCCTACTTGCTCTAGAACAGGCTTCGTCAAACTCGGCCCTCCATATGTTTTTGGCCCACAACTCCCATGATCCCTAGCTAGCAGGGCCAGTGGTCAGGGATGCTGGGAATTGTAGTCTCAAAACATCTGGAAGGCCGAGTTTGAGGAAGCCTGCTCTAGAAGAACAGCTTTTTTGGTGGCTGTGGGGAGTTGTCCATTAGCAAATCAATGGGAAGCCCCTTGAAATCAGTAGTGATTGCACTCCAGAAACTACCGTATTTACTCAAATCTAATGCTCTATTTTTTTGGCCAAATAATTTTTTTGCGCATTAGATTTGATAGAACATTTACATTCACTGGCAAATACTTTTTTTTTGTTTCAAGGTTCCGAAAATTGAGGTGTGCATTAGATTCGATGGTGCATTAGACTCTAGTAAATACGGTAACATGCACAAAGAGCTTCCGTTATTAGCTATGTCAGTTTTGCAAGTTCATGGAGGCCTTCACTGTCATCAGCTATAGAGGACAAAGGCCTTGTAGCATGTGAAAAACTACGTCAGTGGAGCATGCCCAGTGTGTTTAAGATCAGGGCATATGTTTGAACACCTGTAGTTGAAATAAGGTCATTGTTTGTTTAAGCAATAGTCTTACGTAATTTTCATATTTTCTTTTTAATTTTTTTAGTCAAACAAAAATTTGGACATATCAATTAATGCATCAAACAACTTCAACCTGAATATCACTTGGTCAATTGGCTCTACAGGTAAGAAAGCCCATAATGTATTTCTACTTCCATATTCCCTTATCATCTAACTATATTTACATGATTGCCTTTTTGTTTCTTATTAGTAAAGCTTAATAAAATGTATTCTTTTTCCATTCTCATTATGCCATTATTAATGATATTACTTAAAACTCAGATAATTTGCAATCTGAATAAAGGTTCATTAACATGTTAACTTTCTTCCCTATTCAATTAAAATTACTTGGGTAGCAAAACCTTGTATGCTCTTTAAATTTTTAGAATGGCAGTGTTATGAACGCAGTGATTTTAATTAAGATAAATTACTTTCTTAACTACTGCAGAGACTGAGATTTTAATTTCTTTGTTTCAGTGTTCAAGCCTGGAATTTAATTATTAACCTTAACGTTGATATCAAACAATAAAATCCTTCTGTGTGTGCTGATAAAAGAACCTGCTTATCTTTTTTTTCAAACTTTTGAACCCAATTTCTCCATTGGCTTTAATAAAAAGCTTTGTTTAGAAAGTTTCTTTGAATTGGTTCTGTTGACTTTCTGAAAATATATCCAAGGAGAGCACCATTGATTGCATTTTTAATTAATTATGCAGAATGGTTAAGAACAGGAGGCGCTTCACACTTTATGTGACAGATCTGTTTCTCCAGGTGTCAATTATGGTTTTACCTGTGGAACACTGCAACATTTGAAAGGGAGATGTGCATTTGTGAACATATGGTGTACACACACTGATGAATTGCAGCCAGGTGTAGCTCCACATTGTGTATCCACTGTATATCTCTGTATTTTGCAGACCTGCACTCCCTATTCTTCTGAGATCTGTGCTAGCATTACAGATTGTGTGTCATACCTAGGTGTACTACCACATAATGCTGAATAGGAAGAGCTTGATGTTAATAGTTCAGGGGGCTAATAGGGAGGCAAGGGATGGTGCCATGGGCAGTCAAACTGTACCTATTCCCTAAAGAAATTTTTATGATTTTCAGTAAAATGAGACAAAGTTTCATTACTGCATAAAACTAGCACTAAGAGACCTGTGCTATGCATCCTTGTCCTTCAGTTAGTCCGTTTGTGTGTGTCTGTGTTTAAACATGTAAAAAATAAATGCAGTGACACAGATCCTCTTCAGGTATTCATCCTGCAAATGCAAGGGTGAAAATTTGCAGCAGGCTGTGGCACAGCTGTTGGTCCCACCTCTGTTACTAGTTATACCCCCTCAAGCCTGACTTTTGCATGTTTAGCATGAAGGTCCGAGAGCAGCTTTCAATTACTTTTACCTTATGTACTTAAGAAGTCTCCTCATAATCAGGCATTGTTCCTAACTGTAAGGAGGCTTGCAAATATGCTTACAAGACCCTTTCAGACGTTTGCACTAAATAAGTGCAGTTTTGGGGTTGCAGTGCACACAGAGACATTGGGAGTTGTGCTGCAGCACATATTCCCATCCCTCTACACACTTGTTAAGTAAATTGAGGGATGATTTACTATGCAAACATTTACTGGTGAAGCAGAATGTGGGACTCCCTGCCCAGATTTTAAAAGTGTACATTGTTGAATCTTAGTTCTGTTTAGTGTGGAACTAGATGCATGGTAAATATGGAATTTTCATTCTCATGATTACTTCCAGCAATGAAAGTGTATGCGGGTGGTCACTTGAAGGGAGAAGCAGCATGGGAAGGGGAGCTTAATACATTCATTCACCCATTTCCCACTGAAATCCTTTGTTCCAGCTGCTTTCTCCCCAGTACTTTCCCCTCCACGAGTCTGGAGAATACTTTCAGAAGCAAAATGACAAATGCCCCCCCTGCTGTTCTTCCTGCAGCCTCCACCCCACACTGTACTCTGCATATCAGAGGCAGTCTCTTGTTTGCTATCAAATGTGTGTTTCCCAATTAATAATACTTTCTCTGAGGTGTAGTTTCTTTTACTTCATTGTTGCTTGAAATCCCCTACTTGGGGGGGGGAATCTTTTGTTTCTTTTTGCCACCTCAGCAATTTACAGATCAAACAGAATTGCTGAAGAGTCTCATGTCTTACAAATGGAATAAGTTTATCTAGTTGAATATGAGATGTCCTAAGAATAGTTGAGATACTAAAGCAATATTTCACAATCAAGACAAATACATTTTTTACACACTTGAATAACTTATTCAATTTTAGTGTAACTTACTTGAGGAAACTGTATTAGTTGTGTGGTGAAATGGGATAAAGTTGATATAACTTTCAAATCCATTATATGTTTCATTAATCATTCATAATATCTGAACAACTGTTCATAATCTTTGCTAGTATATAAAGGATATATGTATAAATGTTTGTTTTATATTCCTCATGCCATTTTTGAAAATGTATAGAAGTCACTTATAGAGATGTTATACTTTAGAGATCTTTCCCCATAATATTCCATCATAATTTTAAAGATGAATCCAGTGTGCTGTCTTGATCATATGAACTGTGTGCTTGATTCAAGCAGCAAAGTATGCAGAAAGGAACTCTGTCTAGCACAATTCAGTGTTCTTTTCTCCTGAATATTCATCCAAGGCTGAATGTGCATTTTCTGAAACTGTTTCTCCTTCCTTGGACTGGGTGGAATTAAGCAGCTTTGAGGAATTTAAATTTGTTTCCGTCTACAGTTTTGTTATAGTAATGGATATCCAGATACCTGTTAGTTTTATTGTTGTGCCCCACCATGTGTGTCCTTGAGATGGAATGGACTACAAGCTAATTATTTTTTTTAATGGGCTTGCTTTTCATTATTTTTATGTACTCTCATAGCTGGAACGATATCAGGAGAAGAGATTCCTGTAGTTTCAAGGGCTAATATAAAGGAATACAGAGATAGTTTTTCCTGTGAAAAATTCAACTTTCGGAGCAACCCAAACATCACTTTCTATGTATATGTCAGCAACTTTTCATGGCCAATCAAAATACAGGTTAGTATAAATAACAACTATGATACTTCTGTTATATTAAATTAACATGATCTGATCTGACCACCAGAAATGCAAAACTGGCTGTATTGTCTATGGAGGAAGGCCCTGTCATTGTGAATGCCTTGTGGTGTTTCCTTTAGTGTTAAATCTGTGTGGTTCATATATTTTTAATGCATGGTTTATTTTTTTGATCATTTTAAAAAACAAGTAGTTCTCTGAAAACCTTGTGAATTAATGAGACCTGATTGCTGAAAGAAAAAAGTTTATGCTTCTACAGAATGGAAATTTAAACTCAACTGCTTAGTCATGTTGTTCCTGGCTGCTGCTGTGATACAAAACTCCTTACCTTTCACCTACCTATTTATGCATGTTGGGATATATACAAAGATTATGAAAATATATAATTATTTAGTACATGGACCCAAGTATTCCATAACAATAAAACAAAGTTGGAAGTATTTGATTTAAGATGAACACAATGTTTAAATTTAGCTTCAGTGTCTCTTCTCTAATACTTCATTTGCCATCTGACAGTGTAAACATATACATGCCTACGCAGAGGTAAGTGTGATGGGGCTTACCACTTCTACCTAAGGTGGTATAGGATTGAAGACCAAAAGTTCAATCCTTAAAATATGTATTTAAGTCAATATTGGTTTGTTCTTGGGCTCAGGGATACTTAGAAATGTACAGCAGACTCCATGAGACTGATGGATCCAAAATTAAAATTCTTAATTTTATTTTCTTTAAAAAACACTGTTCCCATTGTGTGTGCACAGCTAATTTGTATGTGGAGACCATGGGCAGAGACATCAGGTATTAACCCTGTTTCAGATATAATGCAAAATCATATCTTGTTAACAAGCCATGACCATAAACCACAGTTTAATTTTGACTTCTTTGACCTCCCCAACCTGGTGCCCTTGATATGTTTTGGACTACAGCTCCCATAATCTCTGAGCATTTGACATGCTACCTGGGGCACCAGCTTAGGGAAGGGTGTCTTAAACTAATTACATTTTCCTGCAGGTTTGAGCACAACAATAGTTTAAATTGGGAAGTGGATGTTTCCAGCATCCTTCAAATCAATGCAAAGGGGAAATGGCCAACCCAAAGGCTTGCTTCTGCATGTTCACATAAAGCATATTTCAGTGTTACATCCAATGTAGGCCATTTGATAGCGTAGCTTTGCCAACTCTTGGGACATTTGGACCTCCAGTGTACATGGGACATTCAAAAAGTATGCAAGACTAATGAAAGATATGGTATTTTATTACTACAAATGCCATCATCATTAGCACCACACTGTCTCCTATGGTCTAACTTCCAAAATCCAAATGAAGTCAGCTGTACTTTTAATTCTTTCTGATCTGCTTATGTTACCTTAATATCTTATCTGCATGGTATAAATATTGTCCCATTTAGAAAGGTAGCATTTTATCCAGGTAATTAAACCTTTCACTCCCTTTTCTGTTTTGACCTAATAATCTTGCTACTTTCTCCTTCTTCGTAACTACTGTTGAAAATATTTGTTTAACTTTATCTCCATGAGATCTCTGCTCTCATTCTTGAGTATCCATGGATATGTGAATGTTATGAACATGAAAAACAGTACTGGAATAAAATACCCTTATACTGGCCTTCGCTTTTTGATACTTTTAACACCTTCAGTCATATGGGATATGTCTGCAGTGGGGCATTCCAGTAGGAAAAATAAGATATTCACAAGGAATAAGATAATGAGCTGGTTTATAAATATTGCTACTAGGTTAGGCTATTTTTGAATCATCTTTGTATCACCTGTCTTCATATACCATTAGCTTGCTATGGACTGAAAGACAGCGACAGAGAGTGATTGCTATGTTAATTCAAAACAAACAATCCAAAGGCTAAGAACTTGATTGCAGGAAATATATGTGTGCAAGGATGGTAAAAGATCACTAAAGAGTAACTGATTTTTGTTAGGTCATCTACTCAAACAATGAATCATTTAATCAGTTAGCAACTGGAATTTGTGTTCATTAAATGGCAGAATCATGCATGGAAGGTATTTCTTGCTTATATTTTATATATATTTAGAATATGTTCTATATAATTACATGCATCTAGGTGAATGAATACATGCAGAAAACATACTGCCTTCCTCAAAAGCTCTTTATATGAATACTGAGGTTAAAATTTGACATTGGTATAAACTTTAAAAATAAAAATGTACTAAAATGGGAGAGAAAAGTTAAATATGTTTTCTCCCCCACAGTTTCAAAGGCAATGTACTTCAGATGTGTAACAATATACAACACTGCAATAAAATTCAACATGTATTGGTCTTAATTCTTTCTGCACTGTTGAACACACAACATAAAAATGATTGTTTCGAACATTAGTGGTTCAGAGCTATTTCAGAATGCTTTCTTCAGCAAAAAGAACTTTCCAATGAAGTTTTTTCTTCTTCAGTTTAGTAGTGTCCTCTCTTGCTTACCCTGAGGTTTCAATATAATATTTTACAGTGTGTAACATCTGCAGAAATCATGCAGAAATTATGTCATAATGATATGTGACTTTTTTGTCGAAAATAGTACAATAGGACAACATTATTTTTCTCCACCTTTAAACAGTATGATTATGTAACAGGTTTAAAATACAAAGCCCAGATAGCAATGGATTTTCATTTAGAACTTTTACAGTGAAAGGTTTTTCATCTGCTGTCTTCAAAGTAGACCATGCAAACCACACATCTAAGAAGTAAAATTGGGAGCTTTAACATGGTGCAAAATGAAGGCAAGATTGCTGCCAGGTGGCTCTCAGTGGGGAGGAAATTCTACAAGTGGGGTGCCAGTACAGAAAAAGCCCTTTCCTCTGTAACCATATCATATGTAACATCCAAATATGGGTTGCCCCCGAAAAGACCATTGCTTGGGTAGGACAGTATTGAGATAGGTGTTTCTTCAGTTATCAATTTTCCAAGTTGTTAAGGACTTCATAGCACCTTCAGTTCAGAACAGAAACATTGTTGTATGACTCTAACTCAGTGCACCATATAACAGTCTAACAGCCATGTTTCATACCAGTTGCAGTTTCCAAGGCATGTTTAAGGGCACCTCCACACAAAGCATTTTATAGTAATTGAATTAGGAGCTTATGAGAGCTTGAACTACTGTGGTCACTATCACTATCCAGAAACTGATGTAGGATATGAAACAAGCAAAGTTGATATGCCACATTTATTTGGGTGTTACCATTTATAACTTGCCGGGAGAGAGGGAGGCACAACAATGGTATGTGAGGCCAAAACCTGCTACCAGGCTTGGCACATATAGAAGTGTGTGTGTGTGTGTGTGTGTGTGTGTGTGTGTGTGTGTGGAATAAGTATTGTGTAAATTGGGCCTTCATGATTTGTGCTCTGGGTATGAATGTGTGCTGCATTTGGAATCGGTAACTGTTCTTTTGTGATGTTTTCAGACCTCTGTCAATGTGGCTTTGCTCAGTTGCTTGATTCATCAATATCTATTTGCACAGCTGTGAATGAAAGTGTATTTATTGGCTAACTACTTATGATATACCTAAAACTGGATTATGAATGTTAATCTGAGGATCTGAAGGAAGGGTATTAGTATATGGAAGGGTCTAACCTTGTGGTGGAAGGCTGATGCTGATGACTTTGGAATACTTGCTTTGGATGAGACCCAATGCCCACCCACCTGCTTTTGCTAAGCTTTTATTTCCAAAACCTGTAGCAGACAGTTTAACTTATAAACCTTTTTGCAACTTGTATTTTCTGCAATAATCCCCTCTCTGAATGGAAACTTGAACTTGATCACCTGTGGTCTGCGCCAGCCCTGTGACTCTGTGATAAACTGTCTTACAGATTTATTGGCTTGATTTCTGCAAATATATATTTTAAATGGTTAACAACAAATATACTTAGAACACTGATTTTACTGTCCATTAAGGCAGATTTTCGGTAGATTTGGAAACCCCTAACCAAAAAGCTTGGGGACGCGGGTGGCGCTGTGGGTAAAAGCCTCAGCGCCTAGGGCTTGCTGATTGAAAGGTCGGCGGTTCGAATCCCCGCGGCGGGGTGCGCTCCCGTTGTTCGGTCCCAGCGCCTGCCAACCTAGCAGTTCGAAAGCACCCCCGGGTGCAAGTAGATAAATAGGGACCGCTTACTAGTGGGAAGGTAAACGGCGTTTCCGTGTGTGGCTCTGGCTCGCCAGAGCAGCGATGTCACGCTGGCCACGTGACCCAGAAGTGTCTCCGGACAGCGCTGGCCCCCGGCCTCTTGAGTGAGATGGGCGCACAACCCTAGAGTCTGTCAAGACTGGCCCGTACGGGCAGGGGTACCTTTACCTTTACCTTTAACCAAAAAGCTTCTGAAGAACTGAACTTTTTTCATTCATTCATGTAACACAAGCAGATATTAGGTCAATTGCTGAAGAAGAACATGAGCCATTTCATATGCTAAGGCTTAAGGCTGTTTCTTATTTTCACATAGAAGGAATACATGCATACACACATACATGCTCAAGAGGCTGCAAATAGAGCCATTCACAGCAATGTAAGTAATGTAATAACAGTGATTTACTGTTCAAGGTTCAATTTTCTAAACACCTTAATGGCTTCCAGGGTGACTGTTAGTAATATGGCTGTATGCGAATATTATAAATCTTGAAATATTGATTGGGCATTGACAACATTGTGGCATGGCACATTAATTTTTTTAAAAAACTATTCTGAATATATCATTTTAGTAAAGGTAAAATCTGTTGTGAAATAAGGGTATAAAATGAATTCTAATAAAAACAGGACATAAAGCCCTCATAATGGTTCTTTGGGCTTGATACTTCACATAAGACTTGAACATTCCTTTGATGTATGGGACAACCTTGAAGCCAATAGTTGTTGACTCTGTTCAGAAGTCTTCAAATCCTGTCATTTTAAATAAACTCAAATGGATTTAGGATATATTTACATTATTTTATGGAATATTATTTTTAGATAGC